AATGGGTAAGAGTAACACATCCAAATGAGGAATATGTTGCCTGCGAAATTCAAATAGGCCCACTAAGCACTGTACCTCCTTTTCGGTTGTATGAGGGGCCAAAACGCAATTTATCCTTCATCTTAGAAGAAATATCTCGATAGGCCCCACACGACTGGATCCCTGGAAATTTCACTGAGGTAGAAGCTCCCTAAATTTCAATTGGGTTTATTTTTCATCCCTTGATATGCAAATATCTCACCAACAAGTCCAGTGTGTTTGATAATTCTTGCTCACTGGGTCCAATCAGTATAATAATGTCCATGCAATGGGCCAGTGTGTATCTTGTGGAAGGGAAAAGTGATTAAGATCTCTGAAAACAAGATTGTGACAGAAAGCTGGAGAGTTGATATACCCCTGAGGTAGCACAGTGAAGGAATATTGCTGGCCTTGCCAGCTGAAGGCAAATTGCTTCTTGTGGGCCTTATGGCCAGAAATGGAGAAAAAAGCATTTGTCAAGTCAATGGCTGCATACCAGGTACCAGGAGATATGTTAATTTGCCCAAGCAATGAAACCACATCTGGTATAGTAGCTCCAATTGGAGTCACTGCTTTGTTAAACTTACAATAATCCACTGTCATTCTCTAAGATCTATCTGTCTTCTTCACAGGCCAAACAGAAAAGTTGAATGGGGCTGTGGTGAGAATCACCACTCCTGCATCTTTCAAGTACTTGGTGGTACTGCAATACCTCCCAAGATGCAATATTGATATTGATTTACTATTTTTCTAGGTAGAGGAAGCTCTAATGGCTTCCATTTGGCCTTTTCCACCATAATCGCCCTCACGCTACTAGTCAGAGGGCCAATGTGGAGATTCTGCCAGCTGCTAAGTATGCCTATGCCAATTATACATTCTGGCACTGAGGAAATGACCACAGGATGAGTCCAGAGACCCACTGGACCCACTGTAAGTTGGACCAGAGCTAAAACTCCACTAATTACCTGACCTCCATAAGGCCCTACTTTAACTAGAAGACCACAGTGATGTTTTGGGTCCCCTGGAATCAACATCAGCTCAGAGCCAGCGTCCAGTAGTCCCCCAAAGGTCTGACAATTTCCTTTTCCCCAAGGCACAGTTACCCAGATCAAAAGCTTCCTTAATAAGGTTGGGAGAAAAATTAACAGTATGATTGTCACTAGTGTAGTGGGATTCTTTCTCAACGGGACCTGGCTTCCTCTTCGTTCAATGGGTTCTGGTCTATAAACTGGCTCAAGTCTGGAAATTTGTTGAGGGGCTGTGATCATCTTTTTATGTAATTCAAATTAGTCTTTTGTCCACTCTTCCTGGAAGTTTTCTGCTTATGCAAATTAAGTAAGAATGCAGTAGGCTTCCTATCAATTTCACTTTTAGGCACACTGTGATTACTCAGCCAATGGCAGAGCTCCACAAGGATCATACTATGTTGATTGCTGCTTTGCTTCTGCTCTCCATTATGGCAGCTACACCCAGTCACAGTGGGCCATCTTTTGATCCATATTTCAGCTAACCAAGCAAATAAACTAACAGAATGCTTTTTAACTCCTTGAGCTGCAACATTAAATGTGGAATCCCTTTTTAGTAGGCCCAAATCAATAAATTCAGCCTGGCTCAATTTTATGTTCCTTCCACCACTAGCCTACACCCATGATATCCATTCCCATGCCTGTTCTCCAGATTTCTGCTTATATAAATTAAAAAATTCAAGCAGTTCTTCTGGAGTGTGGTATACCTCCTCATGGGTCATACTCTAAACCTCACCTCTAGGGACCTGCTGGGACTTAAGTCTAGTTTTAGGTCTAGAACCAAACAGGGGTGTTGGGGACAGATCCTGAGGAGAATCAGCGTACCTTGCCTGGCAACTGCCTCAAGGGAGGCCATCACTGTTGCTCCAAGTGGTGCATGGTTAATCTCCTCAGACAAAGGTGGAAAGGCTGATGGCAGCATGGGTGGTGAAGATGATGTTGCCACTACTGGGGATGGAGAGGCTGTTTTCTCTGGCAATAAAAGGGCTCATTAGAATTTAGGAATTCAGTGCCTCCAGCCTTATCAGGGTCCTCCCACACATCCCCATTTGAAGTTTCAGATTCCCATTGTTTTGCAATCAATCCTCACTTTAACAGTAGACACCTGGTGAGGCTGAGCATGACTTTTCTTGTGGGTCAGCCACTCACATGATAAGAGCTTGTGTCTGATTTTCCACAGTTTCAGCCTTTGTCTACAGGAGATAAGACCCTCACTCCAGGCAGTCTTAAAAGATTTGAGGCTCAGTATGTGTTTCTGGAGCTGGGAGTTAGAATCCCTGAGCTCATCATTTTCTTTCATCACTTTGCCCAGCAAACTTAGGAACAACCAACCAATTTCATTATATTCCTTGGTTCTCCACATATGGTTAAAGGTATTATGTATAGAGTCACTAAACTCCTTGCCTCTCAAGAGTGGCGAATTGGGAGTATCAAATGCACCTATTTTGCATCACTCTCTAAACGATTCATGCCAAGGACTATCAATTGTCCTCCATATTATTAGAAGTAGAATCCCAGATTAAGCAGCACTCCAAAAGCCGCTAAACCAACTAAAGGAATCCATCCTTGAGATTCTGTTCCTCTAGAACCACTCCTGGTATCAAAATCTGTATAACTGAGGGTTCTCTAGAGGGACAGAACTAATAGGATAGATGTATATATGAAGGGGAGTTTATTAAGAAATATTGACTCACAGAATCACAAGGTAAAGTCCCAGGATAGGTCAGCTGCCAGCTGAGGAGGAAGGGAGCCAGTTTAGGTCCCAAAACCTCAAAAGTAGGGAATAAAACAATGCAGCCTCCAGTCTGTGGACAAAGGCCTGAGAGACCCTGGCAAACCACTGGTGTATGTCCAAGAGTCCAAAAGCTGAAGAACTTGCAGTCCAATATTCAAGGGCAGGAAGCATCAAGCACAGAAGAAAGATAAAGACTGGAAGACTCAGAAAGTCTAGTTATTCCACTTTCTTCCCCATGTTTTTTCTAGCTGCACTGGCAGCTGACAGGAGGGTGCCCACCCAGATTTAAGGGTGAGTGGTGGGTCTGCCTCTCCCAGTCCACTGACTCAAATGTTAACCTCCTTTGGCAATATCCTAACAGACATTCCCAGGAGCAATGATTTGCATTCTTCAATCCAATTAAGTTGGCACTCAATATTAACCATCACACCATTCAATTATTTGGAAAGCCTTGCCAAGAAGAATGGGCATAAACAAGCCCAAACTGTGAAGACTACAATAAATACCTAACTCTTCAATGCCCAGATACTGATGGACATCTACAAAAATCAACACCATCCAGGAAAATATGACCTCAACAAATGGACTAAATAAGTCACCAGGAACAAATCATGGAGAAACCAAGATATATGACCTTTCAGCCAGATAATTCCAAATAGGCATTTTGAGGAAAAGCAAAGAAATTAAAGATAACACAGAGAAAGAATTCAGAGTTCTATTAGACAAATTCAACAAAGATATTGAAATAATTAAAAACAATTAAACAGAAATTCTAGAATTGAAAAATGCAATTGACATGATGAAAAATGCATCAGAGTTTCTTAATAGTAGAATTGATCAAGAGGAAGAAAGAATTAGGGAATTTCAAGACAGATTATTTGAAAATACACAGAGGAAACAAAGAAACGAAAATAAAAAACAAAAAAGTACACTTACGGAATATAGAAAGTAACCTCATAAGGACAAATCTAAGAGTAATTAGCCTTATCAAGAATGTAGAGAACACCAAGCAGATTTAACTCAAAGAAGATTATTTAAGACATTCAATAATCAAAGTCCTAAAGGTCAAGGATAAAGAAAGGATCCTAAAAGCAGCAATACAAAAATAAATAAATAAGTAAATAAGTAACATACAATGGAGCTCCAATGCATCTGGCAGAAGATCTTTCTGTGGAAATCTTACAAGCTAGGAGAGAGCAGCATAGTGTACTTAAAGTCCTGAAGGAAAAAACTTTCTCTCAGAATAGTAAATATATGGTTAAAATATCCTTAAACATGAGGAAATAAAGGTCTTTCCAAACAAAAGCTGAGGGATTTCATCAACACCAGACCTATCCAATAGGAAATGTTAAAAGTAGTTCTTCAATCTAAAAGAAAAGCATATTAATGAGCAAGAAGAAATCATCTAAGGGTCCAAAACTTACTGACAATAGTAAGCACACAGTAGAACAGAATAGTATAACACTGTAATTGTGATGTGTAAAATACTCTTAACTTAAGTAAAAAGACTAAATGATGAACCAATCAGAAATAACTGCAACAACTTTTCAAGACATAGACAGTATAAAAAGACATACAGAAAAACAACAAAAAGTTAAAAAGTGGGGGACATGAAGTTAAACTGTGGAGTTTTTACCAGTTTTCTTTTTGTATGTATGTTTGTTTATGCAATTAATGTTAAGTTGTCATCAATTTAAAATAATGGGTTATAAGATAGTATTTGCAAGCCTCATGGTAACCTCCAGTTGAAAAAAATACAATGTATACACAAAAAATAAAAAGCAAGAAATTAAATTATATCTCTAGAGAAAATCACCCTCACTAAAAGGAAGACAGAAACGAAGTAATAAAGAAAGAAAGGAGTACTACCAAAACAACCAGAAAATAAGTAACAAAATGGCAGGAGTAAGTCCCTACTTATTAATAATAATATTGAATGTAAATGGACTAAACTTTCCAATCAAAAGACATAGACTGGCTAAATGAATGAGAAAACAAAACCCAATGATAGTTGCCTACAAGGAACACACTTCACCTATAAAGATACACATAGACTGAAAATAAAGGGAAGGAAAAAGATATTTTATGCCAATGAACACCATAGCTATGCCTATATCAGACAAAATAGATTTCAAAACAAAAACTATAAAAAAAAGACAAAGAAAGTCATTATATAATGACAAAGTGGTAAATTGAGGAAGAGGATATAATGATTATAAATATACATACACCAACACTGGAACACCCAGATATATAAAGCAAATATTATTACAGCTAAAGAGAGAAATACATCCCAATATAATAATAGCTCCTGATTCAACACCCTCCTTTCAGTATTTAATAGCTGCAGATTCAACACCCCACTTTCAGCATTGGATAGATCTCCTAGACAGAAAATCAACAAAGAAACATTGGACTTAATTTACACTATAGAACAAGTGGACTTAATACATATTTACAGAATACTTTATTGAATGACTGCACAATTCATGTTTTTCTCTTAAGCACATAGATCATTCTCAAGGATAGACTATATGTTAGGTCACAAAGCAAGTCTTAAAACATTTGAAAAAGTTGAAATAATATTAAGCATCTTCTCTGACCACAATGGAATAAAACTAAAAATAAATAAGAAGAATTTTGGAAACTATCCAAATACATGGAAATTAAACAGCATGCTCCTGAATGACCAGTGAGTCAATAAAGAAATTGAGAGAAATTGAAAAATTTTTTGAAACAAATGACAATATAAACACAACAAACCAAAACCTATGGCATACAACAAAAGCAGTACTAAGAGTGAAATTTATAAGTGCCTGCATCAAAAAAGAAAAAAAATTAAATAACCTAACAATGCATCTTAAGGAATTAGAAAAGCAAGAGCAAACTGAATCCAAAATTAGTAGAAGAAAAGAAATAATAGAGATCAGAGAAGAAATATATAAATTTGAAATAAACAATATAAAAGATCAATGAAACAAAAAGTTGGTTTTTTGAAAAGATAAACAGAATTGCCAAACCCTTAGTCAGACTAAGAAACAATGAGAGAAGACCCAAATTTTAAAAGAAACCAGGTATGAAAAAAGAGACATTACAACTGATACTGAAGAAATCCAAAGGCTCATTAGTGGCTGCTATGAGCAACTATATGCCAATAAACTGGGAAAAGCTAGAAGCAATTGATAATGTCTAGACAAACACAACCTACCAAGACTGAACCAGGAAGAAACTGAAAACCTGAAAAGACCAATAACAAGCAATGATATTGAAGCCATTATAAAGAGTCTTCTAGTAAAGAAAAGCTTCGGACCTAATGGCTTCACTGCTGAATTGTCCCAAAGACTTAAAGAACTAATACTAATTCTACTCAAATGTTTCCAAACAATAGAGGAAGAAATATTTCCAAACTCATTGTATGGGGTAAGTGTTCCCCTGATACCAAAACCAGACAAAGAAAAATCAAAAAAAGAAAACTAGAGGCCAATATCTCTGATGCATATTTATGCAAAAATCCTCAACAAAATAATAGCAAACCAAATTCAACAATACATTAGAAAGATTATTCATCGCAACAAATTGTGCTTTATCCCTGGGATGCAAGGATGATTCAACATACACAAATCAATCAGTATGATACATCATAGCAACAGCATCAAGAATAATAACCATACGATCATTTCAATTGATGTTGAAAAACATTTGATAAAGTTCAGCATCCCTTCAGGATAAAAACTCTCAAAAAGCTGCATATAGAAGGAACATAACATAGTAAAAGCCATGTACAATGAACCCACAGTTAGTATAATACTGAAGGAGAAAAAAACTGAAAACTCTCCTCTTAGATCTGGAACATGGCAAGTATGCCCACTTTAACCACTGTTCTTCAACATAATACTGGAAGTCCTAGATAGAGCAATTAGACCAGAGAAAGAAATGAAGAGCATCTGAATTGTAAAGGAAGAAGTCAAATTATACTTGTTTGCAAACGATATGTTCTTATATTTGGAAAAAAACTAAATACAGGCTCATGCCTGCAATCCCAACACTTGGAGAGGCCGAGGTGGGCAGATTGCTTGAGGCCAGGAGTTCAAGACAAGCTTGGTCAACATAGTGGAACTTCGTCTCTGCTAAAAATACAAAAACTAGCTGGGTGTGGTGGCACATGACTGTAATCCCAGCTACTTGGGAGGCTGAGGCATGAGAATCATATGAACCCAGGAGGAGGAGGTTGCAGTGAGCTGAGATCACATCACTGCACTTCAGCCTAGGTGACAGAGAAAGATTCTGTCAAAAAAAAAAAAAAAAGTTAAAAATAAGTAGCATTTCTATATGTCAACAGTGAACAATCTGAAAATGAATTTTTAAAAAGTAATCCCATGTACAATAGCCACAAACAGAATTAAATGACTAGGAATAAACCAAAGAAGTAAAACATCTCTACAGTGAAAAGTATGAAATAATGATGAGAGAAATTGAAGAGGACACACAAAAAAATAGAAAGATATTCCATGTTCATGAATTGGAAGAATCAATATTGCTAAAATGTTCATACTACCCAAAGCAATCTGCGTATTCAATGCAATTCCTATCAAAATACTTGTGACATTACTCACAGAAATGGAAAAAAAAAATCGTAAAATTTATATGGAACCACAGAAGACCCAAAATAACCAAAGCTATCCAAAGCAACAAGAGCAAAATGGAGGAATCATAGATAGTTTGTGCATTTGTGGAATAAGGAATAATTTGAAAATCTGTTAGTGTAATTGCACTATACCAACAGAAAAAAAAGAAAGAAAAAAAATCACATGATTGGATCAATTGACACAGAAAAAGTATTTGACAAAATTCAACATCCATTTATTTTTTAAAAAGAAAGAAAGAAATGGAAGAGAACTTTCTGAAAATGATAAAACACGTCTACAAAAAATCCTACAAATAACGTTGTGAGTAATGGTAAAAGAGTAAATTCCTTCTCCCTTAGGCTGGAAACAAGACAAAGATATACATTTTTGCCAGTCTTATTCAAAGTAGTGCTGAATGTTCTACCCAGAACAATAAGGCAATGAAAGAAATAAAATGCATACAAATTGGAAACAAATAAGTAAAACTCCATTATTTGTAGATGACATAACTGCTTACCTAGAAAATTCCAAGAAACATGTCCCAAAAGCATTCCCAAAATTAATACATGAGTTCAGCAAAGTCACAGGATACAAGATCAACACACAAGAGCTCATTGCATTTCCATACAGTAATAATAAACATGTACAAAACAAGATTTAGAAGACAATAAAATTGATAATCATTGAAAAAGGAATATCTATATTTAGATGTAAATCTAACAAGTATAAGAATTGTAGGCTAAGAACTTCAAAATGCCACTGACAGAATCAAATATCTAAATAAATGAAGAAACATGTTTATGGATTAGAAGCTTTAACAAACTAAAGGTAGTCAGTTTTCCACAAATTGATTTATAGACTTAACAAAATTCTTGTCAAAATCCAACCACATTTTTTGTAGATATAAACAAGATTATCCAAAAATTTATATGAAATGGCAAAAAACTACATTAGCTTAAAAACAATTTTGAAAACAAAACAACATGGCAATAGTTTACTTGATTGCAAGATATCACATATAGCTCTACTAATCAAGAGTATATGGTATTGATGAAGGAATAGACACATAGATTGATGGAACAGAAAACTTAGAAATAGATTCACACAAAAGTATGCCCAACTGATTTTTGAAAGTGGTACAACAGCAATTTAATGGAGAAAGGATAGGTTTTTCAACAAACTGCTGAAGCAATTAGAGGTCCAAAACAAAACCAAACAACAACAAAGAAAACAAACCCTCAACTTAAGCCTCAAATCTTTTACGAAAACTAATTCAGAAAGAATCATGAACTTAAATATAAAATGTAAAACTAGAAAACTTTTTTTAAAACATACAAGAAAATCTTCAGAATCTTTGGGATCTAGGGCTAGTTATTAGACTTGACACGAAAGGCACAATCCAAAAAGAAAGGCTTGATAAATCAAACTTCAGAAAAAGGAAAAAATTTAAAAATTGGCTCTGTGAAATATCCTGTCCAGAAGATAAAAAGAAAAGCTACCGTGGGGGAAACTGCTTCCAAACCACATATCAAATCGAATATATAAAGAACTCTCAAAACTTGACAGAAAAAAAAAATTCATTTAGGGGCTAAAGTTAAAAAGACGCATCTCACCACAAAGGATACACATATGGAAAATAAGCACATGACAACATATTCAGCATCATTAGCCATTTGCTGAGTGCAAATTAAAACCACAATGAGATCTCACTCTATCACTATCAGAATGGCTAAAATAAAAAATAGTGGCAAATGCTAAATGCTAGTGAGGATGTACAGAAATTTGATCATTAATACATTGTTGATGGAAATATGAAAGGGTATAGCAGTGGCTGGCTAGATGGCCAAATAGGAACAGCTCCGGTCTGCAGCTCCCAGTGAGATCAATGCAGAAGGTGGGTGATTTCTGCGTTTTCAACTGAAGTACCCAGCTCATCTCATTGGGACTGGTTAGACAGTGGGTACAGCCCACAGAGGGTGAGCCAAAGCAGGGTGGGGCATCGCCTCACCCAGGAAGTGCAAAGGATTGGAAAACTCCCTCCCCTAACCAGGGGAAGCCATGAGGGACCCTGTCATGAGGACCAGTGCATTCTGGCCCAGATACTATGCATTTCCCATAGTCTTTGCAACCCACAGACCAGGAGATTCCCTCAGGTGCCCACACTACCAGGGCCCTGGTTTCAAGCACAAAAACTGGGTGGCTGCATGGACAGACACCAAGCTAGTTGCAGAAGGTTTCTTGTTTGTTTGTTTGTTTGTTTTTTTATACCCCAGTGGTTCCTGGAACACAGCAAGACAGGACCATTCACTCCCCTGGAAAGAGGGCTGAAGCCAGGGAGCCAAGTGATCTAGCTCAGCAGATCCCACCACCACCCCCACCCACCCAGAGCGTAGCAAGCTAAAATTCAATTACTTGAAATTCTCGCTGCCAGCACAGCAGCCTCAAGTCCACCTGGAAACCTGAGCTTGGTGCATTGGGGGAGTCCATCATTATGAAAGCTTGAATAGGCAGTTTTCCCCTCACAATATAAATAAAGCCACCAGGAAGTTCTAATGGGTGGAGCCCACCACAGCTTGGCAAAGTTGCTATAACCAGACTGTCTCTCTAGATTCCTCCTCCCTGGGCAGGGCATCTCTGAAAGAAAGGCAGCAGCCCCAGTCAGGGGCTTATAGATAAAACTCCCATCTCCAAGGGACAGAGCACCTGGGGGAAGGGGTGGATGTGGGTGCAGCTTCAGCAGACTTAAACATTCCTGCCTGCCATCTCTGAAGAGAGTGGCAAATCTCCCAGGAATGCACTCAAGCTCTGCTAAGGGACAGACCAACTCCTCAAGTGGGTCTCTGACCCCTGTGCCTGCTGACCGGGAGACATCTCCCAGCAGGGGTCAACAGACATCTCTACAGGAGAGCTCCAGATGGCATCTAATGGGTGCCCCTCTGGGATGAAGCTTCCAGAGAAAGAAATAGGCAGCAATCTTCACTGTTTTGCAGATTCTGCTGGTGATACCCAGGCAGAGTCTGAAGTGGACATCCAACAAACTCCAGCAGACCTGCAGCAAAGAAGCCTGACTGTTAGAAGGAAAACTAACAAACAGAAAGGAATAACATCAACAACAACATAAAGGACATCCACACAAAAACCCCATCTGAAGGTCAGCAACATCAAAGACCAAACGTAGACAAATCCACTAAGATGAGGAAAACCCAGCACAAAAACACTGAAAATTGCAAAAACCAGAACACCTTTTCGACTCCAAAGGATCACAACTCCTCACCAGCAAGGGAACAAAACTGGACAGAGAATGAGTTTGATGAATTGACAGAAGTAGGCTTTAGAAGGTGGGTTGTAACAAATTCCTTTGAGCTAAAGGAGCATGTTCTAACCCAATGAAAGGAAGCAAAGAACCTTGAAAAGAGGTTAGAGGAGTTGCTAACTAAAATAACCAGTTTAGAGAAGAACATAAATGACCTGATGGAGCTGAAAAACACAGCATGAGAACTTCATGAAGCATACACAAGTATCAATAGCCAAATTAATCAAGTGGAAGAAAGGATATCAGAGACTTAAGATCAACTTAATGAAATAAAGTGTGAAGACAACATTAGAGAAAAAGGAATAAAAAGGAATGAACAAAGCCTCCACGAAATATGGGACTATGTGAAAAGACCAAACCTATATTTGATTGGTGTACCTGAAAGTGATGGGGAGAATGGAACCAAGTTGGAAAATACTCTTCAGGATATTATCCAGGAGAACTTCCCCAACCTAGCAAGACAGGCCAACATTCAAATTCAGGAAATACAGAGAACACTACAAAGATATTTGTTGGGAAGAGCAACCCAAGACATAAAATTGTCAGATTCACCAAGGTAGAAATGAAGAAAACAATGTTAAGGACAGCCAGAGAGAAAGGTTGGGTTATCCCAAAGGGAAGCCCATCAGACTAAGAGTGGATCTCTCTGCAGAAACCCTGTAAGTCAGAAGAGAGTAGGGGCTCATATTCAGCATTCTTAAAGAAAATAATTTTCAACTCAGAATTTCATATCCGGCCAAACTAAGTTTCATAAGCAAAGGAGATCCTTTACAGATAAGCAAATGCTGAGAGATTTTGTTACCACCAGGCCTGCCTTACAAGAGCTCCTGAAGGAAGCACTAAATATGGAAATGAAAAATCGGTGCCAGCCACTACAACAATATACCATTGCCATCAAAAAGTGGGCTAAGGATATGAACAGACACTTCTCAAAAGAAGACATTTATGCGGCCAACAAACACATGAAAAAAAAACAAACTCATCATCACTGCTTATTAGAGAAATTCAAATCAAAACCACAATGAGATACCATCTCATGCCAGTTAGAATGGTGATCGTTAAAAAGTCAGGAAACAACAGATGCTGGAGAGGATGTGGATAAATAGGAATGCTTTTACACTGTTGGTGGGAATGTAAATTAGTTCAGCCATTTTGGAAAACAGTGGGCAATTCTTCAAGGATCTAGAACCAGAAATACTATTTGACCCAGCAATTCCATTACTGGGTATATACCCAAGGGATTATGAATCATTCTACCATAAAGAAACATGCACACGTATGTTTATTGCAGCAATGTTCACAGCAGCAAAGACTTGGAACCAACCCAAATGTCCATCAATGATAGATTGGATAAATAAAATGTGGCACAAATACACCATAGAATACTACGCAGCCATAAAAAAGGATGAGTTCATGTCTTTTGCAGGAACACAGATGAAGCTGGAAACCATCATTCTCAGCAAACTGACGCAGGAATAGAAAACCAAACACTGCATGTTCTCACTTATAAGTGGGAGTCGAACAATGAGAACACATGGAGACAGGAGGGGAACATCACACACCAGAGCCAGGGATTCCAGGATGGAGTTAGGGTGGGAGGGAAATTGATATTGCTATAAAATGGTAACAGAAGGGATCCTTGCAACAATGAAAATATCCTGTATTTTGACTCTATCAGGGTCAATATCCTGATTGTGATATTGTACTATTAGCTGGCAAGCAGCAAGCCTGAGATTGAACCCAGGGACCAGGCCTTAATGTTTTGCCTACTTAGAAGTGAAACATTTGATGTGGCTCTTAAAGTTTAGGTAGTGTTTGCTCAGAAAAGAGGAGTGGAGAGGCCCTTTAAAGAAGAGAAAATAGCAATGATAAAACAAGGCTGTTTGGGAAATAACTAGATTAATTTGACTAGAGAGGAGAATAAGAGAAAGATGGATATGAAATTCTACAAGTACAGGTGACATCAGAGAAAGAAGGCCATAAAGGGCGGGCCAGTGAGTTAGCCATCTCCTATTGGGAATATGGAGTGAAAGTCTATAAGGGGAGAATAACGCAATAAAAATGATACGTTAGAAGTATTAGAGAAAGTAGTCTGGCGTGTTCCGCTTTGATGTCTGTCACAGTGAACTCTGTACCTTTTATAAGACCATTCTTGGAGACACTGTGGACAGAGTGAGAATGCTTACCCACTTAGTGTGGCATGAAACACCAGAAATCAGAGGGCTCATCACCAACAATCTGGAGGCAGAATTAAGGCAACTGCCTTCTCTGATCAACCCTCCATAATACTTCCAAAGGGATATTTCTGAAATAAAATCTAATTCCAGTGCTCAACCCATGTAAAAGCCTGGAGTGGTGCCACACCAATCATGAAAGAAAACTCAGTCTTTATTACAGCTTGCAAGGCCATGGATCATCTCTCTCTCCTGGGCCTCGTCTTCATTTTCTGGGACACTAACTCTTGTCTCCTGCTCTTCTTCTGGAGGACTGTCTGTGGGCACAGAAAAAAACCCATAGGGCAGAAAGAAGACTGACAAAGAGGGGAAAGGGAAAAGTCTTGTCATTTCTCTTCACCTCCTTTTCTGTGAGAAGGAAGCCTCTGATTCCCAACTGCTTTCTGCCCTAAACTCAAGTTGGTGATTACCGTGTGAGGTTCAGAAATGTCTTTTCTCTTCCCTGCTTTCTCTCTATTCTCATTTGTCCGTGTCTGTCTTTCTCATTCCCTTTTGTATTTTGTCTTCCTCCTTTTTCCCTGCTTTCCTTCTTCCTTCTCTTCTCTCATCAGGCTTGTTCCCCCTTCTCTTTACCAAACGCCCTATTTCCCTTAGCCCACCCTAGTTCATGAATGTTCTTCATGCTGTGTCCCTTTTCTTCCCAGCCCCTGCCACACCAGCATTCTGAGAGCTGGGATGCTCACCCAGCACTGCCACCGCCAAGGTATTATCAACACAAAACAAATAAAGCCCCTAACCTTATTTCCTAGATGTGGATTCACAGACACCTGTAAGCATTTTCTCCTCTTTATTCTTTCCCTTGAGATTTTAGATATGTAGTTACAGATAAAATTTAATCTGGTTTCTCTCATTTGCTAGTATGAAAGATATGGTCATGAATCTCTATATTATAATTATTTTTCAGTCATTTCAAATGAACTATTTTTCCTACCTACATATTTACAATATTTACAATTTCAAATAGCTATTTTTCTTATGTATATATTTACATATTCCGGTTCCCTCCTTCAGAAGGATTTTATGGCCTTCTTCTGAGGTACACATCGGTGACTTTCATGATAGTTTGTCAAACCTGCTTTTGCTGGATGGATTACCAATACTTACTGATGAGACAGCCAAGTAACAAGGGCTCCCTGGAAGACCCTCCAACCAGCCTGCACACTAGGAGTGTGCACTGGGGTGTAGCCTTGAGAAGTTCCTGCAGTTTGCAGTGGCGGAACCTGGCCTCTCCTGTTCTGAGGTGGTACCTGGGATTCAATCTGTGATGTGGGAAGCCTGCTAGCAGGACTCTCGTTTTGCTGAAAATCCCTTTCTTTTTCCTTTTCGCCCAATAAACGCTGCCCTTCTCACCCTTCAAATTATCTGCGAGCCTAATCTTTCATGGTCAGTTGACAAGGACTCTGATTCTAGCTGAACTAAGGAGAAAGTCCGGCAACACTGATATATAAACAATACAGCACTTCTGCACTCTCAGTTCAAGAGAAACACTACTGCATGATGTATAGCTTTGAGCCTCATTGAACTGCTTCTGTTGAAGTGCATGCCACTAGCATGCCTTGGGGGATGCTATGAGAACCTTGACTCTTTTTAAAAATGTTGGCAATGATATTCATTGTCCACAGCAACAAGTCAGTGCCTCTTCTCAGGAATCATGAGTCTGTGAGTCATGGGTCACTGGACTCGCAGAACCAGAAAGAACAGGCTTCTCCTGCCTTTGCTTAGTTTTCATTTTATAGGCCCCATAATTTTTGCAACAGATTGTGTTTCCCCTTTGTTGTGGCTGCTGGTAAATTTACAACCAAATTTGGGGCTCATCTCCAGCAGTTGAATAGTGTCTTATGGTATTCATTATGTGTTATCAAACCTCTCTATTTATCCTATATTCCTGATTTCATTTTCCCTTTGCTGCCATTTCCTCACCTTTATTTTCTCAATTTATCCCATCGTATGCACGCAGATAGAAAGATAGATAAGATAAGCGGTCTCAATTCTCTTCCTAGAATGATTTGGAGATGCAAATAAATCAATAATACTCTTCATAACAACATCAATCAGACTCACTCCAATAATGTACTTTTTCTCATGCTTGCTTAGAGTTTGTAACTGAACCTCTGAAAACCTGCTCAAGGCCCAATCTACGCCATTTTTAGGCATTTTCCAGGTAAGATATAACTTTTTCCCCAAAGGTCCTTACACCCTATAAACT